GAAGTGTGTCACAAAGCAAGCTTTCACATGAAATGCTCAAAGCCAAAGGAAAGCAAGAAAACCAAAGAACATATTACGTCGAGAAATGGAGACAGATATTAGAAGAATAAACAACAATTGGATGGAACTAGAAGGAAATGTGCAGGACAGAGTGTGTTGAAGAATGCTGATCAGTGGCCTATGCTCCATTAAGAGTAACAGGCTTTAGTAAGTAAGTAATTAAGTTGTCATGAATATCTAGTATATCTAGCATGTAAATTTTAACATTATTTAGTTCAATATATTACTGACTTTTTAAAGTATAATTTAAGTAGTATATATATATGAATTTCATTATAGTAGAAATATATTTAATTATTTATAATGATCCTGTCTTAATTATTTGATTGAAATCATGTTCTTAAAACTGTAATAGAGGTTGTAGGTAATAAATTTAGGTCATTTCGAGTAATTCTTAAATATTAGTTATTGATAGGGTTAAAAGTTAGAGAGTTCCAGAAGTGAATATGACAATCAACCGATCGGTTATTGATAATTATCAAAACTTCAAAACTTCAGTTTAGCAGCTCATATGTTAATTAGCTTTCTCTCAAAGAGGCTAGATCAACATGGAAAATCTGGAGGCACTGGAAAGCCGTTTCGTCCAACTGTAGGACTCCTCAGCAGTGAGTATCCATGATCCCGACTCGCGAGATTCGGACCCAGGACCCACCAGTCTCGCGCGCGAACACTTAACCGCTAGACCACTGAGTCGGCCATCATTCATCAGTGTTAATGTTTAACTTCAACTAAACTACTATAAGTGATTCTTTAATCAGGTTATAACAACTATCCTGCAACTAATTTCGATGATTGTTAGTTTTGGTTAAGCACTTTTATTAACTTACTTAACAGAAAATATTAACAATTCGTCTATTTTTTTGTACTTTTATGATCACTAGATCACATAACAGACTAGCTAAAATGTTGATCGCTTAAATATCGCTTGGTAATTCATTCTCTCCCCCCTGTATATATGTACTCAAATCCTATTATTATTCCTTGCTTTGCCTTGCTGTGCCCTTATACGATTTGACTATAAATTTGCCTCCGCATTTGCTCGAAACTATATATTCGCCTCTCTGCTTCAAATTCTCTTGATATTCTTATAGCGCAGATCACGAGCTATCCGCTTATAAACTGTAGTCACCACTTCTTATTGATTTCTGATTTCAAACACCATTGAGATTTATGTTATAACGGTTATCGAGGTGATTGATTAATGAAGCAAAGTCACTACAAGTTTGAGATATGAACAAGTTAGAATTTGTAGGTTCTGTTAAAAAAAAACATTAAAGCAATCACTGTTTTTTATCACGTTCAAAATACACTAAGATGAATGATGAATTAGGATACAATTGTTTTAATGCAAAATATCTCAACTGTAGTGAACAAGTAAACAAATGGGGACAACTGATATTATCTGGATACAAAGTTACAGAGTTATTTCATAGAATATGACTACCATACGTTCAACGCTTCATTTGCAAAATGTCTATCAGTTGTCTCAGACTTTGTTGTCCCTTCATTTTTTTGCACCAATTTCTCTGTATCTGTTGTCTTCTGTTCGATATTCTCAACTTTCTGCTACCAGGCGTTTCACTTTCAATTGATGTTACATGCTACTTATATATGAATAGAATCACTTGGTATCTTTTACTTGAACCTTCCCATTGGTGTTTAGGACTTCAGTTGATCAGTCTTCTATTGGCATATATGCATACTGTGCTTATTGCCTCAATATTGCTTTAATTCACAAGCATTATAAGCAGAAATGCATGTACATCCAACTGACGAGTCCTAAAAAGGACGAAACGCGCATCCTGGATTCCACTTGTATCTACTATCCACGTTTGCTTATCAGACATAAATAAGTGTTTCGAATAAGCTGTCTACAAAATTATTGGTAAAATAAGGGAGAAAAATCATTTAGTATTATTCAAATAGATTTCACATATTCTTTAAAAAATAAGAGGGAATATTACAAAACGGAAATCAGATTATGACATAGAAAAAAATTCATTGCGTGTTTACTTGATGTGAGTTTAGCAACACTCCTACGATGTATTTCGGTTATGGTTACTTTTTGTCGACCCCTTTTATTAACTTATTTAACGGATAGTATTATTCGGATAGTAACAATTTATCTATTTCCTTATATAATTATGATTACTTTCATGCCTGTATAAATGTGTACACATGATCACATGACAGCCTACGCATATATATTTCTCTCTAGCTAAAATGTTAATATCTTAAATATCAATCGACGGGTTATCCTATTTTCCTTGTATATATGTGCTCGAATCCTATTAATTGACTTTGCCTTGTCTAACTTCGCCTTGATTTGATTTGACTATAAATATGCCTCTGTATTCGCTTGCTAACACATTTTCACCTCTATGTTCCAAATTCACTGGATGTGCTTGTAACTTTGTTATTTGTGCTATCGGCTAATAAACTGTAGTCATTACTTCTTATTACCTTGTGATTTCAAACATCGTTGGGGATTTATATGCTAATGGTGATCACGGTGGTTGATTAACGAAACTAAGCTACAATTCTACGAGTGGTAATAGGCTTAAATAGGTAAGAATCAAATACCTGTTATTGCTAAACAGGTAGAAAATTTTATGTATAGATGAACAATATTTCTCTATGTAAATGTAACTAAGTCACGATATTTATGAAAATGAGTTTTCAGATTTCGTTTTTACAAGTTAATCAATGTATTAACAGTACATAAGTACCATCTAAATCTCAATAAATAGTGCTCGCAGTGTCGAGTCACGTAGACTGGTGGCCAAATTGCAACATGATCGACAGCATTCGATCTGCACTAATAAGGACTAGACAAGCATGACATTGATCACCACTCAGTGATCAATCAATTGTGAGTCCATAAGTAAATCGGAAGCTAAGCGGCTTGTAGTGTCGGTTATTATGTTAAGCCTATATAACTTAATTTAGCTTCTGAACAGGCCAATTTATCCATTTTTCTTGATTCACAGTTTAACCTTGTTATGTATTCACTTATCAACCCCGAGTGTTTTTATATGAACACGTATGTGTGTGTACACTTCTTATCCTACTCATCACATGTCTGTAGCTTATTTTTGTGTAACTATAAATATTGATTAACTCTCCGTTAAATCGAGTTGGGTCATAGGCCTTCTCCACTGCGTGTATTTATGTTTCGCTTCGTTCCCTCTTCTTCGCTTCTCTTTGCTTCGTCCCTCTGATCGTCTTCCCAGATCAATGTGTACAAAATGTACGTATTCAAAACATTATTTAATTCCGTTATCCACTAATGCGATCCAAGTTGATAATTATAAACGAAAATAATCAGAATGCATATAATTTAATAATGACCGTTCGTACAATCTACCTGAAGTCAGATTCCGAGCCAAATAAATGGACGACCACCGAACTATTCACGAATTTCCTAGATAATACTATAGTGAACAAGAACACAAGTAGGGACAATCAACTATGTTAGGACATGAAATTCCAGAATATCTTACTAAAATCTGAGAACCATACAGTAAATACTTAATTTTCAATATATCAATCAATTGTCTCAAACTTGACTGTTCCCTTTTCAAATCTCAGTCCATCGTCTCATATTTCATTGTTCGTGCATTTTCATGCCCATTGCTTTCCGTTCTCGTTCTTTCCTATTCGAACTTCTACTGAAATACATTCTATGCCTGTCCATCGTCATATACTACTTACGTGAATATGAGTAGCCCACACGACAATAGTACTACACTAATTGATTTAATGTATAAAGTTGCTGAGACAAACGATAATCAGTGAACACAATTAAACTATTAAATTCAAATGAAATTTGGGAAATGTCTACTTTCATCAACATTATTTGACTGCATTTATTTGTAATGATTTTCATTTTTACATTGGCAATGTTAAAAACCCTAAGTGGTCAATCTTTATTAACATATATAGATCTTGATCGAATAGGCTTACCATGACAAGCTTATAGTGAAGCTGGAAAATCATTCAATATGGAATAAAGTTTATATCTGTTAGTGGTTTAACTGAACCCATTAGTTTAATGGATAACGTGTTGACATTTACAGTGGAAGCTTCTTAGTATTAGCGTGAACATCTACTCTAGGATACAACTATATTCATCTGAGGAGTAAAGGGTATCATTTATGGAATCTTTTTTAATTGTGTTTAAACAGTTTATTAAACTATGTTGTTCTAATTCTTTTGTAATAATTGTGATCTGTATCAGTGAGGGTTTTGTGGATATTGTAGTAATTTTTTTATAGTTGAGATCATAAGTCATTTGAAGCTAGATCATCATGGAAAACCTGGAATCACTTGACAGCCGTTTCGTCCTATTGTGGGACTCCTCATTAGTGCGCATCCACGATCCCATCCCCTTAGATTCGAACCCAGGACCTGTCGGTCTTATGCAGGAACGCTTAACCTCTAGACCAATGAGCTGGTCAGTGTCCAACTTTAACCAACCCATGACATAGCGCCACCGTCCACCAAATGGTACTCTAGTGATTCCTAGACCCAACTTTCATATTTTACAGTTTTTACTAATGAACTAACTATACACATTGAGGAATCAGTATTCATGTTTACGTGAATATTAATCGAATTCCGTAAGTTTTAAATGAGCAAGATATATTTATCAGTGAATTTCAGTAGCTTGACTTCATAAACACTGTCACAAAAAAACCCCAACAACATTGAAATGCCACTGAGGAATCCCACAATAGGACGAAACGACCGTCCAGTGCTCCTAGGTTTCCCATGATGGTCTAGTTTCAAACGACTCATGATCTCAACTATTAGAAAACATTGTGATGTGCTTAATTATTCTTGGATTAATAATAAATTTTCCACCAATCAGAGAATTTTTTTTAAAATTTAATTTTATTCCTATTGTCACCATGAAATAATCATTTGATTGGTTAACTGAATTTACCGGTTACTGATAAGAGTTTTATAAGTGTCAGCGGTTATTATAGAATACATTTACTTATTTACTTGTTTAACTGCATTCAACTAAAGATATTTCACATTTACATTTAAGTCAATTATACATATTAACGAATACATTGTTATTCATAAAAGATGGTAAGTCTTCATAAATATCTTCATAATATATAGAGCTTTAATGTTTGTATTTCATATGTATCATATAGTTTAGATGATTATAGAAATATTGAAGTTTAATTTGATTATTATTAAAATGAATGGATTGTGGTTAATAGTGGAATCCAGAATGCATGTTTTGTCCTATTTGAGACTCATCAGCTGGATGTACTTACTTCCAAAAGTTGATGTTCATTTTGCGATTCCAATGCAGTGTGACTTGATTCAACACACTATTGCATTATCCATTTAACTATTGAATTCAGTTGGCCAATAGCTTGTGTGATGTAGTAAAGTTTCACCTCATTTTCGTATTGGCTTTTTTGAATGTTCACATTGATGCTTAGGATCAGTCTCTTGATGACACCCAACTGACGAGTCCCGAATAGGACAAAAAAGCGCCTCCTGGATTGTACGAATTAAATGTTTCCCATTAAAGAATTATATTTCATCATATTTTTTCCCAATTTTAGTAGTTTGAAAATTTATGATTTTGAATTAGATTACAGTGTAATTTTATGATGAAATAGAATTTACCAGTGTTAACAGATCATGTAATATCTAACTCATTGTAGTTTGTAATTAATTCTATCATTAATTATCAATATTGGGTTGTGGTGATTGTTAAGTTTCTTCACTGAGATCATGAATCGACTGATGTTGAAAACCTGGGAGTACTGAACGACCATTTCGTCCTAGTATGAGACTCCTCAACAATGAACATCCATGATCCTGAACTCGAGATTCAAACCCATCTGAACACTTAACCTATAAACCACTGAGCTAAAATCCAACGGTATTCATATTTAACTTCAACTAATCCACGATATTACACAATCATCTTCCATTGTTTTCGGTGCCGAACTGCCAAACATCCAATATAAAGTTGTGAAGAAATATAATTGTTATAACAATAATTAGTATTCATGGATTAACAATAAGTCGCATTACTGAACTCTATATTAAAGCACTAAACATCCATTAATTACTATTATGAAGTAACTTATAAGTCTCTAACTAACTAATGTTATCCTGTCAAAAATAGATCATTAACATTATTACATTTTATATAGTTTATTTGTAAAATAATTTTCTCTGTAATCTTATTTGGTGTATTTTCAAATCAATTAAGCATTGGGGTAGTATATTCCAAATGAGTAGAAAAATTAGATTTTCTGACGTTTCGTAACTTGGTATAGCCAACTTCTTCAATGAATGAGTAAATAAATAACTAAATCAAAATTGATTTAAGTTTAAATAGTACAAAGAAACAATGCAAGAATCAAAAGCACTCAATATCTATCCAGTTAGAGTACTGAACGTTCACTTTTTCTCCTCTCAATTTCGTGAACGACACTACCACCACGAGAAGGCGGTGAGTAGGACTTCTTTGGCAGTGGCTATATACGTATGGCTATGTGAGAGCATATCGAGAGGGAGAGGTGACTATTCCCACTCTCGGCTATACCAAGGCATTTAAGTGCTGTTTTGATTCTAGTGAAATACATTGTATAGTGATTAAAAATAAATGAAATGGAATAGTATATGACTTATGTACAAAGCACAACGATCATCTTACAACTTTTTAAACTTTTTTGAAGTTGACATGAAACTCATTTATTTTAATAGTTGAAATGTAGGTATCGTTACAAAGGTTTGACTTGATAATTTTCAATGAATTGAGCATTGGAGTAGATTGATATAAATAAAAATGATGAATTTGTAAATCATCTGCTCACTAGTGACTGACTTCAAGTGGCATTTCCTGAAGTTCTAGTGAGAAGCATTTACCAGTGAAGTTCAACCAGGTCTGTTGCGACATATCAACTCACTGAAGACAATGGTGTACGGTGACGCAACTTCGTGGATTGGTTGAAGTTAGACATTAGCACCGTTGGACGCCGGCTCAGTGGTCTAATGGTTAGACGCTTGCGCGGGAGACTGATAGATCCTGGGTTCGAATCTCGTGGGAGGCGGGATCGTGGACGCTCATTGCTGAGGAGTCCCATACTAGGACGAAACGGCCGTTTAGTGCTTCCATGTTTTCCTTGGTGATCTAGTTTCAATCGACTCATGATTTCAACTAGTGAAACTTGTAATATTCCAATGAGTTGAAAAATTAGATTTTCCGATGTTTCATGACTCAGTATAATTCACTTTTATTATTATTTTTTTGAAGAAGTGGCTTAGACTGAGTCACGAAACGTCAGAAGAATCTTATTTTTTGGTAAAACCAAATCTGAATTAATTTAATAATAAAATTTTGTTTAGTTGTTATGAAGAAAAAATAGTTTGTCACGAATGATTGATTGATTGATTGAATGAATGAATGAACAAAAATATCATTTTGTTGTTGTTGTTATTCACTTATAAATTGCATGTTCATAAAGAGTAGGAAGATGATATAGATTTTGTCTATAATAAATTAATATTTGATAAATATCATGTATATGTTGATCAGTATACACTATAGATTGAACTACACAAAATAAAAGTAAATTCGATTGAAAAATAAACTTGCACTTGTTTACTCCTAATGGAGCATAGGCTGCCGACTAGCATTCTTCAACCCACTCTGTCTTGGGTCTTTTTTTTTGGTTCTTTCCAATTGTTGTTTATTCTTTTCATTTCTGTATCCATTTCTTGACGTAATGTGTTGTTTGATCGTCCTCTTTTCCTTTGACCTTGAGGATTCCTATTGAGGGGGTGGTAGAGCATTCGACTGCGAATTCACTAAGCTTTAGTATATTTTGACTTTAAATTATTATGTAATTGATTTCAAGGAAATATGGTATTTTATATAGAGAAGAAAGATTACAGCTAGCAGTGAAATCTAAGACTGATATGGATTTCTACTTTAGACTTATTAACTGAATATGATTGAATCGTAGCGTTGATATAATGTAGCGTAGTGGATAATATTTGAAATAAAGCTACTGAACTTGAGCCTTAGTGTAAACATCAACTAACCTGTACTAAATAGCACAAAACATACCACAGATTCCTCTATCAGCTACAATACTTTTTTATATAATATAAATATGTTACAGAATGGTTCAATTGATACAATCTGTTCAGGATACAAGTAGGCTAACAAAGACTGATCTAAATTCAATCAGGAATATCAATTGCAAAACTGATCAAACCCTTTCTAATAGTAAGAATAGTGCATATTTAAAAACATGACTTTAGATCAATTGGGGATGAGACATGAAAAAAGAAGTGATAAAAAGGTCTAATATACTAATTCATAACTCGTCAGCTAGAGGTCCTTTCATCTCAGTGATAAAATTTCTGAACTTAAACTTGGATCCAGCATCTTCTCCGATTCCAATTCGAACTCATCATTGATTGACATATTGAGTTCAGTAATACTGGTTCCAAGTCTTATTGTAATAATCCATAATGGGATAGAGGTAAACCTAGCTGATATTTTTCAAAACTTACATCATCTATTTCTCTACTAGACGTTAGCTAAATTTCTATTCTAGAAATATACCTTCATCTCTGAAATTAATATGTAGGATTATATATATTCAATGGCTTTGAATCAAAAGATCCCAAGATTTCACTTATCTCTAATTCAGTCAAATTGTTAACTATTTATTTCAAAATTTGTACTTGTTTGATCACCAAAATTACTTTCCTTTTGATTGTGTTGAATTTGTCGAGTTGGATGATACTGCGATGTTTGCTACTTATATCAACATAAATAGTATATAACGCTAGTCAGGAATAGAATGTCTGGTAGTAGAAGGTTCAGAAGATCGAGAAGGAATGAACGGTAACAGAAAGTAATTGGTATGGTAATGCAGGAACAATGAAGTGTGAGACGATTGGTTAACATTTTGTAAATGAAGTATTTAATGTATGGTCCTCAAATTTTACTAATACATTCTGTAATTTTGTATTAAAATGTATTAGATGGCCACAACTTATGTTCTCGTTCACTACAGTACAATTGTTGTACAAATCTATTTGTTATGTACTTATCGCTTATTATTTATCACGTGGTAAGATCATCACTTAGAACATCGACTTATCCCTGTGTCAAACCGATGACACGTTAACCAGTACGAACAGCCTACAGTCAAATCTAAATCCATATTGGTTCAATGAGATGGTAGCTTCTTGACTAATCCAACCGGTTCAGTTAAGAGCACAAATATCAGCTTCCATTGTATAAATCGTGTATTTCAAACATACGCAGTTTATATACAAGCAAACCAGACTACTTTACATCATAAAACGAAAAATGACAATTATACAGGATCAGGCCAAAAGTGTTTGTGATTGTGAGAGACTGTAACTCATGAATTGGGAATAACTTAATAACAGTAAATGGTATAATAGTAGTCAATAGGTCAAATGAAAGCTTATAATAAAAGGAGTATGAATATACATATAATATAGTTACTTAATAGTTATTCCAATACCAATATATGTATAATAACAGTCCATAAATAGTTCCCGAAAGTTATCCATTAATTCTATCTTCTTTGAGTACACCAGTAATAATAGTTAATATGCTTGATACTATATCCTTGGCACTAAGATATTTAACTTTATAGAAACTTATTTATTGTGTGATATGTTCTACAAGATTTGGGCATAATTAAAGTTAGTCATTAACACCGTTGGACGCCGACTCAGTGGTCTAATGGTTAGGCGATCGCGCGCGAGACTGATAGGTCCTGTGTTTGAATCTCGTGGGAGGCGGGATCATGGATTCACACTGCTAAGGGGTCCCATACTAGGATGGAACGACGGTCCGGTGCTCTCAGGTTTCCCATGGTGATCTAGGTTCAATTGACTCATGATTTCGACTATTGAAATTTGTAAAAACTCCACAAAACCCTTCTGATCATAACTGAATATATTTGAAATGTTTTATTAAAAATACTCATACGGAATTCAATCAATTGTTCACTTGATTTGAACAAATATAAACGATTTACAACATTATATGTGTAACATTAGTA